CACCCATTTGCCCAGTGCTGGTACTTTGCTGAGCCAGCCACATCCGAGCCGTGTGTGGGCTGGTGCAAACGCGGGGCCCTGTGTGAGCACAGCAGACCCCGGCATCACGCAGCCACCTCTAGGTCCTCGTCACTTCGGACCGGCGCCTGGCAGTGAACCATCCCCTGTGACAAGGTGGTGACACCCTGTTGCAAGCATGGATGCTCTACCTCAGCCCGTGGGCCAGCAAGGGCAGGGTGGCTGTGTCCCCTGTCCCCCGTGTCACATCACCCTGGCCTGCCATGCTGTGCTGTGGCCCCAGGGCAGGCAGGGCCGGTGTGCCAGCCAGGAGGCACCGGGTCGTGTTAGCTGATCGCCTGCTCCAGCTTCATGCCTCCGCGGCACAGTCACCGGTGCTGGGTGCTGCCAGGCCCTTTCGTTTCCCGCGCGCAGCACCCCACAGCGACAGCCCCACGCCCAGAGCAGCCCCTGCCATCGCTGCCGCAGGGCGGGCCAAGACCACCGGGGAGCTCACTGGTGCTGGCAGGCACAGAGCCTCAAGCCTGTGTTCAGCGGGGAGCCGAGCCCAGGGCGCCGCTGTGCCCGGGGACCTGGCCGCCCAGCTGGGCTTCCCGTGCTGGCGGTTGGAGACCGGCCCCGGGGGAGGCTTTTTCCGCCCAGTGCTGAAGCGCAGGTGTCTCTGGAGCAGGGTGGGACATGGCAAGGGGTGATGGGGAGGGCAGGTAGCATTTAGGAGTCTCTTGCCCAAGCCCTGCTAGGCCCACCCACAGCTCTCCCCCACCCCGGGGACCCGATCGGATGCCACTCTGGCATGGACCACGTTGAGCATCCCCTTTCCCAGGTCTCCCTTCTTTGCAGACCCACAGCAGACCCTGGGGAAGTGCCATGGTCAGTCCATGCGCCCAGGCTATGCCATCAATGGGAGAGGGGCCCTCGGTGGGTGTCACCCCCCAGCCCCTTACATGTGCCTGACGTGCTGGGAGCTCTCTGGGGCCCAGCCTGCCCCTGTCCCTCCCCTTGTGTTTGGGAGCCAGGAGGCCAGAGGACCTGAGCAATCCTCCCCAGCGCCCTGCAGGCACCTTCCGGCTTTACTGACCTGGAGAAATAACCTTCCTGCCCATCCGCCCGACCGATGTGCCGCAACCCAGGCCCTGTAATGGGCTGTGGGGAGACAACCACAGTGGGGGACACTCCCTGGAGATGCTGAGACTGTGCTGGAAGCACGGGAGTGCACAAGCCTCTGGGGTGTCCCCATGTCCTCCCTGGGGCCACAGGGCAGCAGTGAGCTGCTGCAGGTGCCTATGGGCTCAGGGCAACTCCTCCTGGAGCCTGGGGATGGGCGGCAGAGGGCTCGCCACAATCTCATCGCCACAGCCAGTGGCTCCCGGGGATGGGGCCCTGCTGTCCCCCTCGCTGCTGGCCTGAGCTCCCAGGGCACCTTCAGGCATGTGGGGAGCATGGCACAGGGTGCTGCCAGCGAGAAGAAGGTGGTCGTGACCTTGGTGTGAGTCGGTGACACGAGGGCCAGCAAGAGGTGTCGGTGGTGCAGTGGGTGGCGGGGACACCGGGCGGGAGGGGGATGCTCCTGACGTCACCTGCCCTGCCAGGCGTTACTGGGCCCATGATGCCCCCACATTTGTTGCCCCCCAGATGCCGTTTGCCCCGGCACCGCTGTGGTGTGGCTGTGGGCACAGCGGCTGGCGGAGCTGAGCCATGACAGAGGTGAGGGTGATGCAGGACGT